AGGTGATGCGCCATATTTTAAACGTACTTGACTCTATCTAAGAAAAAATAAAGAAAGAATTTGAAGTAATATTAGATGAAGTTTTTAAAATGTTCTTGAGGCTTTATGTTAAGTACCCTAAAAATAAAACATTTGTTTCATTATCAATGCCGCAATATCAACTACATTGATCGGGGAATACTATAATTTTTGGGGACAATCCTACCTACTGTGTAGCCGCTAGAGTTGTTTACTTGGACAGTCAGACGGACATGTATATTCTGCCGTAAACCAATATTTCGGTATCAATGACTCACTAAATGTAGACCATTTGCTTTCTACAGAAACAAGGATTTTCCACTTTTCCGGTATCACGAGGTTATCTGTCAGAGAATCGGAGTTTTTTGTTTTGTTTCTTTTGCTGGAGAATAACAACAACAGAAAAATAACTTCAAATTTCGAATTAACATGAACACTTAAAAGACATTTTCTTAAAAACGGCAGACATACAGGTGACGGGCTGGCAGGCAGAATGGTGTGGCGCGTGACCGGATACTAACCCGAGTGAGGAGCGATCCGTCGCGAATGTGTAGAGCCAAGTTGCTACAACGGGTTAAGAATGAAACATTCATATTCCACTTATTGAATTGCAAACATTTATAAGCAAGAAAAAGAGTTGTACAAACTTATCAAGTATATATTCCTGAAAGTACAAACTTTCAGGAGACAATTAAGGTTTAGGAAATTATAAAGATTTAGGGGGAGAAAAATCGCAGTTAGAGGATGATTCACTACATGAAACGTTATCTTTTCCCTTTCAATGATAGATCTTTTTGTTTCGAACGCCAGGTTTTTGGAGAGTTGGGTCTTTCTTATAGAGAACAGTGTATGGCAAAAGTTGGAGGAACACATGAACTGCAAGGCCATATGTTGTCCTACCATTATACTATTTGGAGCAGAACTGTTATGTGAGGTTGCTGATTGAAAGACGCAAAACTACAACATTTTCAAACTTGCGTCTTAGGTCAATATTATTATGTCGTTATATCATTATTATATCATTATTTCGCATGTAACTTGCTAAATTTTATTTGAAAATTAAACATGTGATAAAACACATGTGTAAGTAATTTTTTTTGGGAACTGACTATACCAATAAAATTATTCTATAATTGTTTCACACCAAATAATACCTCCTGATATACATAACCTCCTGATTATTAAGTTTCTAAAAATTTCTAGAATGGCTCAAAATAAGGCTTAAAAGTAAGGATCCTATGTATAGCAGTTTTTATGATTTTCCAGTTTAGATTTGTATATTCTTCTATTACATGAGTAGTTCTCTTTCACTGGTCACCATCGCTGTATCCTTATCTCTTCTGTCAAAGCTCCCTCAAGTCCCCAGCCATCTCCGCTGACGCGGTGTGCACCGTCAGCCGTCTCCGAGTCACTACTTTTGCCCCCTCGAATACCTCACATGAGAATACCCCCCCTTGAAATCTCTTCTCTCCTTCCCTCCCTCGCCCGTGCTTCCGCTCCGCTCCTACGCAACCCGTTTCTGGGCTGTTCCCGCCTCGCCGCTTCGCCTTGTCAATATTTGTGCGCGTCGAAAATTCATAACGGAATGCGCTTCGCGTATTATGACGAGGTGCGCTCACGGCGTGGGGTTCCCGTGCGGAGGAGGCATGGGCGGGTGATGGGCCTCTTGAGTTGGAAGCCCCCCAGAACGGGGAAATTCTATGCAGAAGCACTGCTCCAAGTCGCTTGCAGTCGATATTTCGTTTTCGTGATTTCACTACGTTTTATTTTGATTTTACTAGTCTACACTGAAGACGATTTTATTTGTAGTTTCTATTTTACATAATTCTTATACTTCTCTAATTTATTTGTTAAACTTAATTTCATGAATTAATATTTTTGTAGTATTTTTTAATATTAGTGTTTTAGTAGTTAGTTTTATATAAATCCTTTTTTATTTAATTCTGACCGAATGAACCGAATTATCCGAATTAACATCTATCTGCATCGACACGTTAGCCAATTATTTTTAATAATTCGAGTTGTACAATAAATTGAAACATATTATTCACCTTTGTACCTCAATCGGGTGAATGTTCATGCATTCAAATAACGATAGAACTTGTTACTATTTTTCAGTCAACCACTGCCTTATCGTGAAAATTCTCTACGAAAAAACATAGAAATTTTCAGAACATTGAACTTTAGTACAAGTTATCACTAAGATAATAATAACAATAATAATAATAATAATAATAATAATAATAATAATAATATTTTATTTTCATGAAAATATGTACAACGGACGACAAAGAGATATAAAAGTAAATTACGGTCAATAAGACTAAGCAAACTCTATAGCTTGGTATACTCTGCTTTCTGTATTTCCATTCTGTATTGTGTTGAAACAGGAGCATCCGAAAACTAGTTCATTCCGAGGCTAGAGGCACGAAGTCGCAATACACTGGAGTAGGCGAGAAAAATCGCTCCTCCTCGTATCTTCTAAAAACTCCCTGGTCCCCGAAGTGGGCTCTGAAGACACCCGTGGGGCATTACCAACGTAGCTCTCGCCGGGACTGATGGGCCTGAGAAGACGTAAAAAAGAGGACCAGAGATAGAGTTTGTTTACATCCATCAATGCCTATGGCGACACTCCGTTGTTGTCCGCAACGTCCCCCGCAGTCGTAAACTCAGATTTTCCGCTGCGTTTTAGAATATTTCCCTTGCCTTGCTTTGTAATAATTTTCTTTGTTTTCACGTTCTTTTCTGAAAAACTTTTACATTTTGAAAAAAACTTTCTATTGAATACCTTTTCTACATTTGAACTAATCTCGCACATTTCTTTCGAAATATATTTGTTTTGACCACGTCACATTTTTCAACTTTAAAATAGTATTATGGTAGGAGGAAAAGATTTGTTGAAGTTTTTCTTGCGGTTATTTACTTTTCATTCCACTTTTATCTATAATTTTTTGATGAACAGGAAAATGTCATTATGTTGTTTAGAAACTAAAATTTATACAAGAAAACTTCAATGATCATTACGTCTTATAATGTTTTGATCTAACGCTGTAGTACCTTACTCATACCGTACATAGGCTTTTGTAGTCGTTTTAGAAATGTAAATTGGACTTATGTTAATATATGTATCTTTATTTCGTCCTTTTAATCATTCAATGACATTATCACTACGGTTGTTTTCTTAAAATTATCGACATAATAATATTGACAGATTGGTAATTAGATTGATACAAAATTTTACATGCATTTCAATAACATGTTACATTATTTTAATATGACTCTTTATCTAAACCATGCAAATATTTAATGAATATCAATGTTGAAGTTTGTACATTATTGTACAGTACCATTATACGAAAATCGACCAACACAAGAATTCTGCTAACAAAACCTAATGTGGCCTCCCTAGAGTTCCAATACATAAATAATAGATTTTTTCCCATCAATTAGAGACCTTACCTACATTAATCACAGAGAATATTGGTTATAAAGAATACTGTTTCATCCGAGTAAGACTCAGACGTACATAAGACAATTTTTCCCAGGCGGTAAGGCATTGAAATAAGATAATATTTCGGTCCATAGTTATACCTATTTCACACATAACCATGCTCACCTGTGGAAGAAAAAATATCTGACATCTTTTTCCTCGCGTGTTGTTTAGGGAAATGTCTATTGTATTTATTCAAGCGAAACCGTAATCGTTATCAGAGATTCCCACTCCAACTTTGCAGCATACGGTTTACCATCTTAAAGGGTTTTGTACTATGTATTCATCTTTTCACTACTGCGGTGATATTGGTGTTTTTCGTCTGGTAAACAGTGTTACTTTTTCATGAAAAGTGAAACAATTATTTAATTTAGATATTTATTTGGGAATCCATTTGTGATGGCTTTGGAATGGACGTTAATGACTATCAGAAAACCCGATACCAGATTGCTTAGGCTTTCACAGCCAGAGTTTGTATGATCTAAGCAGTGCCCGAACTAGACAAATTTATATCGGAAGCAATGTTAAAACGTAGCCCCCCTCTCCCGTAAAAATTGAGAATTTGAAAAATATATCAAGAAGCTCTATTAGTTATTACTTTAGTAAAACTTTCAGCCAATAACAAAAATGACTACATTTAAGCTAGAAAAACCTTATGGAAATATATTTTATATAATAGTTTTCAGTAAACGTTTTTAGTGATCAAGTAAATTGAGCTTAAAACTCTAAAAAAGTGTTTAGTTTAGTTTGTGTTGAATAAAATAATTTATTTATACATGAAATTATTAATTTAAATTTCAGTAGAACCTGTTTTAAAGTTAGCGTCATTTGATTTATTTTATAGTCATACCTTGTAAGTACCAGTAATGACTATAATTAATTATTTGAGGGAAAAAATTTACTTAAAATTTTATGAAATATCAGACCACTGTACCGCGATTTATAAAATTACAATAACGGTTTTCTCGAGCATCTCTTTCTTTTTTCATATTTTTACTATTTTTTCCCCACCAGAACCATCATCGGGCCCTTTGACTTGCGGTCGACCCCGGTCGACCGCTCGGTCTGCCCACGCCTAGCGCCGGCACTGGATCTGCGTCGCAGACGCGACTCGTCCCATATCGCATAGACACCATACCTCATGTCGAAAATAATAAAAAATGTTCGATTAATGTAGGTGAAGATAAATGAACTAATGTATTCACTTCTCTTCACTTCATTTCATTTCATTTCACTTCATTTAAGACAGTTCTCACCACTTCGATACAAAAATCAATGTCTTCCAATATATCTTAAAACAGGGTTCTACTCTAATGTAATTGCCTATGTTAATGGAGTTCCACTTTAATGCCAATGTTTCTTTTGAATTAATATAAAAATCCAATAGTAAATTTTCAAAAGGGAATCCCTATTGTTCATCCAAATTATATTCTTATTAAAATAGTGCTCTTACTTGAACGCAAACTTAATATTATTTCTCTTTTTGTTCTAGGTGAGTATGCAGATAAAATTCGTGCGGCATATACCTTACGAGAGTGAGGGTAAGTTCTTAAACAGAATGCGATAATTTTGTGCTCTCAACTGATAGTTTTATCAGTTCCAATGTACTTCGTTCTCTTTGAATCTTCATTGATATTCTCAACGTGAGTTCAAAATATATTACTGTTTGTTTTACATCTAAAATTACTGATATTAGTTTAATTTCCGTTGATAGATTTTCTCGATACGCTGATTCTCGGCAGTCGAATTTTTTGGGAAATCATTGATTGGAGAAATTCGACAACATTGTGGCTATACGAACCTTCATAATGTTCTCCAATTTTTGGAGATCCGGTTGAAGGAGTTGGAGGAGGGTAGAGAAAGCGGTGGGGGAAACTCTGGGAGTTATTAATAATCGATATATATCGATTCAATTCCCCCGGCCCGCGTCCTCGACAGGCAAGCTTCCACTTTGCTGACGGTTCCGGGAATTGATATCGCCCTCGGCTGTGACATTAATAATCGAGAAATGTAGTATCGACTGGCGCCGACTCTCTTGAGCCGCGCAGGAAGGAAGGCTGGCGCGCCTTTCCAGTCGTCGCGGCTGCGACTCCCGACCCTGCAGCCATACTCCGCTGAGTGTGGTGTCTTAGTATAGTCCCATGCATCCATAGCCTCCGATTGGTTTACTATGAAAGGAGAAGCGAAACCATTGAGCTCCGAAATTATTCATCTACAATTTTCACCGATATATCTCTATTTTAGCGAGAAAAGAATAACCTATCGTAAATAAAAAAATGAAAATGGCAATTGAAACTAAATACCAACTCAAATGTTCAAACCCATTACGCTGGATCGGCAATTTAATTAAATAACAATATCTACGAAAAGGAGCGAAATTTATTTGTAAAAGTATATTTCAATAGACTTTTTTCAAACTGCTCATGTTGAATGAAACATATTCACAACATTCTGAAAGCTTTTTATTAGACTGTGATAGCGTACAGCTATTTGCGAACTTGGGTTTTATGGGTAAAGTGATCGGTTGCATTTCAGCAACAAACATAATATGGCACGGAGATTCGCGTTCTTTTAAAAAGTGTGAAAGCATTAATAAGTTGCCAAATTTTGTCTCTCAATCAATACAAATGAACAAATTTATTACAAATAAGCGCATGATTGATTAAATTCTTAATAGGTGATTTTATCTTCAAAAAAAGGCCCGAATAGATTTGTTTCACAATTTTATAATAATAATAATAATAATAATAATAATAGTAATAATAAAAATGATTATTTTTACAAAAATATAATATTAATTAAAATAATATTTGTATTAGGCGAGACATGGTAAATGACGTATAATTTGAACTTCTTACTGGAAGAATTGAATGTGATACATGCCATTTTAATGAAAGTGAAATTCTGTCACAAAAGAATATTGACCTGACCGTCGAAGCCAGAATTCCGCAACACAACTCAGCGCCGTAGAAGCCCGGGGCCGCAGGGGCGAGACCAGCGCGCTCTGGCCGTCGCAGAGCGTCGCGGCTCGGGGCGTCCACCTGGCCGGCGGCAGCGCCCTCGGCGGCCTCTACCTCTAACTAATTCATGCGGCATCTTGTCAGGGGTTATCTTGCGGCGGCGCCGGCTTCGTCGGCCATACTTGCTAATATAGCCGTAGTTCCCAGAAGCTTTAAGTCTTAAGGGCTGCGCCTCGCCACCACCACCGCCGCCCCGCCGCAGCCGTGGGAACCGCGAGTCGGTCACGGGAGCGCGAGGCGAACGCGAAAATCGGCGGAGGAAGAGGAGGGAAGAGGGCGGAAGAGAGGACGCCGCAGCGGGAGAAGCGGGCCGCCGCGCCACGCGAATCTCCCTAAGGGGACGAGGGCGCCGTGTCGCCGGCGCTGCGCGGAGAGGCGACTTCTGGAAGCCACCGGAGCGTAGGATGGCCCGTGTGCGGCCGCGTCTTCACACACCCGGCGTATCCGCCGCGCGCGGATACACACACACACACACACACACACACACACACACACACATACACATACGCACTGGTGCGCTCTCTGTCTCGCCCGCGCACGTGACGGCCGCTTGGGTGCCTCCGGCGGCGGCCGCGCGCGCGCGTGCGCGGGAAACGCACGCGTGCAACCCGAATTGTGCGGGGGGTGGGGAGGCCGGGCCGAGGGGGAGGAGGGCGTCTGTTGACGAGAGGGTGTGGGGGGTTGGAGAGCGTGAACGCACGTGCGAAGCGCTCTCGGGAGAGGCGGCTTTGGCGGTGGAGGAAGTGGTGAGGGTGAGGAGGTGGCGTATCGATGCGTTGGTGGTGGGGTAGGAGAAGGTGTCTCATGAAATATACAGCGCGTCTAATGCAATACGGATCAAGTCAACAGGCCGACCGTGCGTCCTCGTACTCTTCATCCTAGTGGATTACCGAGAATGCGTTGAGCTTTCTTCCATATGTATTCTTGCCATTTGGCTTGATTTCCTTTTTTATGTTTGTCTGTTCATTACTGCGTTTAATTGAGGGATATATTTGTCCTAGAACGATACAGATTGATGTAAAGGAAAATTGAAGCGGGAAGCTAACCAAAACAAAAAAGAAATAGAAGTTGAAACGTAACGTTTTGACCAGTTACCTAAATAAAACTTTAAAAATATCTTGAATTGAGTGCCAACTTGTGTTTAATATCAACTATTTTGCTATCCTGGGTGATGCGATTAGCCTTGGTCTATTAGCTGTTTTGAATTTTGTTATGTTGTGGTCACTGAGAATAATTTTGTTGTTGTCTTTTGTTATTCTTCATAAAATATGAAACGTAAAGTCATGTAGTATATTACAGATCATTTTGTCACATTATTTGAAATACACTTTGTTTTTCTATTTTTTCAAACAAAATTGTGTTGCTAAGTGTTTGTTTGTAACAGCCGTATTCATGGACCGAAATGTTTAATTTTTGTAAATTCTTTGCATATTATTTTAAATATGTTTTTTTGGTCACACGAACTGCCATTAACGACTGTATATACAATTCTTTATAATGCATCAAATAATTTTATATCCTTCAGAAATTTGGAGACATTATTATATCTGAGATGTTTCAGTAAGTAATTTGCAAAGACAATTTGAAAGTGAATATGACATACGTACGTTAGCATACACTCGGCAATCTGTTAAGATGTTTGCATCATTGTTCTGATCATCTTCATGGCTGGTAAAGTTCCCTTTGACAAAACAGATATTTTAAAATGTAATCCATTGCTTTCTGTTGTTATCATAAGCAAACACTACAAAAAGAAGTGTTTGCTTGAAGGTGCTACTTCTATTTTCTTGTTTCAAAATACTCATTTTCCTATCCCTCCACAGTTACATTGAATCCTTGACGGAAACAATATTTCATTTTCAATATCACGCTCTAATAAATGGTTAGTAACTGAAAGATTCATTCGTGTATAAATGCAAATTAATGTAAGATACTGATTTATAAATTTGAATTGTTTGCGAATCACAATACCGAGTTAGCATAAAAAATCACAGGGCCAGTCCTACAAAACCCGTTCGTAAGACCTTTGCAGTGAGTAATCTTTCGGTGTTCCCCGTTAGTACAAAAGCCGTTCATCTCTCTTGTGTGTACGCGCGGAGCCTGCAATGCGCTTTCTGCACTCAGCATATCACACTACATGAAGTCCGGGCGCCCGCTGACGTCAGCTGCGCCGGCTGCATTGAGCGCTTTCTGGCTGCGGTGCCAGAAGCCGTTAGCGACTACACTCGCCCGCCTCGCTGCCTGCTCCACCTTCCCACAAATCGCAGGTGCCACCGGGGGATCCGGCGCGACCGCGGCGCGGCGCGGCGCGGCGCGGCGCTGCGGGGGCGTGGCGGCCCCGGAGGGGGGGAGGGAGGACGTGGAGGTGGGCGGGCGCCGCGGCTCCGCGGCCGGTCGCCTGCGCCGCGGGCGGCCTCGGGTCCCGTAATCAAATATTA